TGTTAAATCTGAAATGTGTGTTTAATTTTATTCCATGGGTCCAGTGAATTTTCAATGGGTCAGACAGACACCTTAAACTTACAGGACCCAATGTCCTGTTACTTTGAAACACCATTCGTGAACACTGTATTATGACATCATAGTTTCTGCGGAGTGAATACATCTCGTATCAGCACTCTGCAGAGAGTATATACCTGATACATTTGTATCTCCACTCAGCTGTGTGAGCAGGTTATCATATATCTAAGCGGTCACACTATCAAGCTATTGTCACCCTGTATACCATGAAATACATGGCTGAGATGTAATTTCCCGATGCATTAGGCACTACTGATACAACATAGCTTTTGTCCTGGCATCTGTTTCAACAACAACATAAAGGTCACAACTCCAACAACAACATGCCTGGTATGTTATTCTGAAATCTGCCATCTAGCTTTGGGTTTTTTCAAAGCAGAAATCTTTCAGTATATTTCAACAATTTCAGAACATATTTCCCAATTATCTATATTTCATTCCAATATTTTTCAAAGAAGCTTAACATTATGATCAACTAAAACTATGGTGTATTTCCAAGGGTACATACTTTATTCTGTGTATCTGATGTCTTACAAAGGAAATAGATAAGTGTAATTACAATTTCACAAATCAAAAACATCACAAGGAAGATAACCATGTTTACTTACAAGGATGGCTTATGACAATAATAGACATGTGAAAATGAAACCTGTTCCTGTTCAAAGTGAGTGAGTGAGTATGGTTTTACGCCGCTTTTTAGCAATATTCCAGCAATATCGCGGCGGGGGACACCAGAAATGGGCTGCACGCATTTTACCCATGTGGGGAATCGAACCTAACGGTCTTGCTGTTCAATGTATTTTTCATTGACACTGAGCTTGATTATCAAACACAAACAAATTGTTCCCTTGCTGGTTCAGAAGAGTGGTGAATGTTCAACGACTCATAACTGACTGCCGATGCCGTTTTCTATACCATTTCCTCACTGGTACTGTGCCCAACAAACTTCTAGGATACAACTGGCCTTCAGTCCTAATGGGGTCAGGTGCTCAATTTCAGTAGCCTGATGCTCATGATGTTGATCACTTGACTGCCTGGCCCAAACCTGATGAATTACAAACTGCCTTCATATAGCTGGAATACTGCTAAGGTGGCTTTAACAACAAATACACAAACAACTGCTGTAAGGGCAGCATTTTTAGTTTTGTGTTTCTCATCACCCAGCCGCCCTTCTAATGTTATTGCAGACCCCACCAAAACACTTTTTTTTTCATTCCAACACCGCCGACTCGACCTAAACGTACTGCCTCGTCATATAAAATGTTTATCTTCTAATCAGCCACTGCCACAAGTCCCAAAAATGTGAGAATTACAATAAATGAGAATCAAGAACCTTATTCAGAGAATTTTGTCTTTCTTAAGTTCTTGTGTTTTCTTTTTTCATTTTGTTTTTTCCCCCGACCGACCGACCAACCCATGTTCAGAATTTGGTGGCTATGTGAAAGACATAAAACAAAATGATGCCCTAATTCCAAACAGCCCTACGTTAGTTACGTACCCAGGCAAACATTAGACAAATCGTATAGTCCATGTCACATTTCTTACGTATGCAAAACATATAACAGCAGAGAATTTCATATTTATTGTTTATCATTTCCTACGTGTGATATCAATCTATAAAAAAGTTCTAAGGAAGGTAGTTTTCCACACTTTTTGTGTGTTGCTAGGCAAGAACTGCTACATCACGTCCTGTGCACCACTGCCACATTCCAGTGATGTAAGTGACATCATGAAGTAAATGGTTTGACCATACAAACCATTTGATCGTAGTAACATTTGCATGATCCCTGATAAAAACACTAGCAGATAAATCAGATACACAACACTCATAAATGACTGTAACATTATATTCTCAACACAAAAGCACAAATTAAAGAGACAAAAAAATTCTAATTTCAATTTCTGTAAAACAACTAATGATAGAAAATGCCTAAAGATAACCAAAATGGAGCTGAGCATCATATCATTGGGGAAATACTAAGCACTTATTACTTACCAATTCACTTAAAATATGGATTTGTTAATCATTCATCAAGCTCATGACTGATCATTCCTCAAAATCATACACGAAAAATGAATCATTTAAACAAATACCAACAATTTATTTTCATATTTCATAATTTACTATTGATGAGGGTGTTTTAAGGTGCCAGCGAGATGGCCTATAATCGCTATGTATACAAAGCTTGCATTAAGAATATGATGCTGGTGCAGATCTTCCTGTGTGTGAAAAAACGGAAGCTCGTTTAAGGAGTCCCTACAAGTGGTATTGTTGGAACACTGCTACATGATGTGTACACGTCTATCAGGGTTTTACACAGACTTTTAAATATGGGAGTCATGGTGACTCACAATATTTTTGGGGGGGGAGTCATTTTCAGTATTTGGGAGTCATGAAATCTTTATGTTAATCATTCTCAGTATGTAACTGTGTATGTCACACCACCAAATGAAACTACAGCATTGTTCAATTCAAACAGCCAGGATTACTGTCTCCTCTGAGTTCTCTGGAACAATCTGACCGCTTTGTAAAAGTCAAACTATCATTGAACAATATCTTTTTTTTGTTTATCAAATCAATTTTATTGAACTGAATTGTGAGGGCCACCCATAAAACTTGCGTCAAGCTTGACTCGTATGATAATATTTTGGGAGTCTTTTACAAAATTGTTGCGTCAAATACGCAGGAATCACGCGTCATGTAAAACCCTGGTCTATTTATACACTAATTATCATGTGTCGTGTTCCAGACACCCTTGTGGCTTCATGTTTACATATACCTGTAAAACTATTGCCCAACAAAACAGGATATGATGCCAGGAAAGTGTCCATCACATCTGTATGCCTCCATATCACAAACACATGGATAATGACAAATATGAATCGAAAATTATCAGTGAACAGGGTTTTACATAGCTCTGAAAAAACTGGGAGTCCTGGGGGCTCAGGGCATATTTTGGGGGGGAGTCCATTTTCAAAATTGGGAGTCCATCAATTTGCATGAAATCAGTGATCATGGATGCTTCCCATTTGATAGTGATTATGTTATGATATGTGATACTTTCAATGTCATTAGAATAATGATTGTAAACAGAATGTTTATATTTTAATATGGGATATCATTACAAACTCAGAAAGTTCTTTCCCAGAAACAAATTATATTGTGTCCACAAGGACGCACAGGATTTTAGTTTGGGGGCGCTTCATCAAATTTCTGCATCCAATACGCAGGAATCAAGTGTTCCATAAAACCCTGAAGGAATACTTCTAAAATTACTGATTCTAATCAATTTTGACTCAAATAAATTGGTGGAACAGCCTACTTATGAGAATGTTTAAGTACAATACATAGCCCTACTGAGCTTTTAGATATGACAATAACATTTGTGCTTCTTTTAATCTAAATTTCTGTTTCTACAAATGTTTTTGTGACCAACCAAATCTTCTACCGTGTCCACAGCTAGAGTAATATTTCAGTCACCAGCTGATGTTATGTTCAGCTCAAGGTTCAGGTCAAGTACTTTGATAACATTGGAAGGTTTGATTAACTAATTGATTCAGCCTGTATTATAAAGTACACTTTAACCTACTTATTCTATGCTGGTGTGTCTTTACATATCATATCTGTGTGTTTACTTTTAGCAAATGCTGGAAATGTTTATGAAACCTGCTGTTTATTTCTAGCTATGATATAGGAAATATATACTTAATATTTAGTTATTGATAGGTAGAAGACCTCTCACTAAAAACATGATCTGAAAGCGGCAATACATGTTTCACTTTTCAATACATATCAATTTCATTCCATATAGATAATCTAGCATTGGTCAACCAAGTCAGCAAGCCTGACCACCTGATCCCGTAAGAGGCGACTAACGGGATCGGGTGGTCAGGCTCGCTGACTTGGTTGACACATGTCATCGGTTCCCAATTGCGCAGATCAATGCTCATGCTGTTGATCACTGGATTGTCTGGTCCAGACTCGATTATTTACAGACCGCCGCCATATAGCTGGAATATTGCTGAGTGCGGCGTAAAACTTAACTCACTCACTCTAGCATTTGGCACCAAGGCACTGACTCAGCTCTATCAGTTACGTACAACAGTTGAGCATGTAGGTACACTTTAAAAACCATATGCACTTTCAGCATAACATCTGTCAGTGGTCTCAACTTCTCAGTATATTTACATCAGAAATGGAATGACAGAATGATTAGAGAGGATATGACTGGTGACAAATCAAGAGCCATTCTGTTGCATGAAACCATTAAAGTCATTGGTTAAGCACAGTGAGTTAACTCTAAGAGGAGTTGTTTTGCAAAGCACAGAAGTAGATGCAGCACTGGGCAGCACTTGACAGGTTGTTTCTATGACTGGTTCATGCCAACAGTGGTAAACGTTCCCCAGTACAGGCAAATGCCATAACATAAGGATTGCAAGGCTATAAAGACCCACATTTCCAGCTGTATGGCAGAGTCAGATCGCCAACTTCCATTATTTATTCTAAATGTCTGCAAGCTAAACCTGTAAGCTAAACAAGTCAAAATGTGAGCCAATGACAGCTCTGCTTCTTCTATGAGACTGGGATCTCCAATCTCAGTTCATATGTGTAGACCACCTCTCCTAGACGCTGCTACTGAACTGGGGGTAGGTGTTTATTGCAGGGTGTTTAACGGCATCTCTTGAGAATTTCTTATAAAATACTGACACAAACTTGTTTAGATTATTTACCAAAGATCATACAGTACCTAAGTAACTGACCGAAACTCTGTGAAAATTAGTTTGAATACTGAAAAACAATTCTGATCGGTTACATAGCCAGAGAAGACTCATCCGTAAAGTGTCACTGGAGTGCGTTAACCGTAACGTATATACAACCCACCGCCAGTCTTAGTAAGCTGTAAATCAAGCTAGTAACTTACCCATAAGAGATCGTCACAGAGGGCGAACGCGTCTGGCGGAGACGTAGCAGCCATGCTTGCTTGTGTTAAAACGGGAGGCAACTCTTCCGTGATTATACGCGCGTATAAGATAACCACTCCTCATTACGAGAATGTACGATTTCCGCATACCGTGGTTGTAAATATGCTGAGTCACTATAAGTTGCAAAGGTCAGATGAACAATCAGATTACTGGGTTTATGGGGGTACTTTTATCATTTTTATGATGCAAAATAACAACACACTTGCTTTTTTCTATCACTTTCAATGAAAAATGGTGTATATATTTTTGTACGATGAATAATAATTGTTGGCAATTTCCTCTCACGATACAATATACAATATACATAATTATTGAATAGTATGAGTCATTTGAAAGCTTGCACTTTGGACTCATCAACTCAACTATAGGGTATCACGCGGTTAAAAAAAATATAACGGCTGCCATTTCTTAATAAAAAACAGAAGAGGACACAACATTTTATTGGTGTCGTTTCATATGTACAGTGCACACAGACCCAAAGCATTGTTGAGAGAAATAGATAAATAAACCAACAACAAAGGATGCAGCTGCTGGTATATATAATGAATCGAGATAATTGATGAACAACATGGTGCCGCTACAGATATTCATTTCAACATCATCAACATTATGTGATTCACAATTATTATTATTACAATCTTTTTTTCGATACTATTATTACTAATGCCATATCTGTGTACGACTCTTACCACGCGAATAGGGTTAATTTTATCTTTTAGAAATAACACGTAAATATATCTTCAACACGAGGCTGTTTCAGCAGATCCGTACGAATCACGACTTTGCTTGCACGGGTTGGCGGCATTGTACATTTGTTGCAGGTGGTTTCTGTCCAATAATGCTAAGTCACGCTGATAAGCCGGGTCATGGTGACATTTCACCATAACCTATAGCGTTAGTCTTCTGTTTACGTTAAGCAATGGTGAGGCAATGGGCCAACTGTTATTAAATCGTTCACCCTTCGATCTTTTATGTCACAAGATTAGGATATGATGCATGAAGGTCAAGTTAGGTGTTCTGGCTTTGAATGGAATGTAGAGCCCCATTCCTGCCGCGCATACAAATAGTGGAACCGGTTAGGAGATTATGTCCCGTGCGTAGTTTACAGCCCCTTGAACAGTTATGAGCCGGGGGTGGGGTTGCAGGGGGGTGCGCAAAGCATTCACAGGCCTGGTTTCGAACCCAAAATATGACATTATTAGATTGGCCAAGCTATAGCCCTGACCTAAATCCAATAGAAAATGTTTGGGGACTTATGAAGGAAAGAGTCAATAAGAAAAATCTGACAAATATTGCTGAAATGAAAGAAGAGGTGGTCCGGTATTGGGACAGCATGGACTACGACTTTCTAACTTCTTTGATCAGTAGTATGCCCCGCCGCATTGAAGCCTGCATTGCTGCCCATGGTGACTTGACAAAATACTAACTGTTCACCTGTCTTTGAATCTGGAGTTATGTTCAGCTAATATTCACATTTAATACGTGAGTAATGAGTGAAAAAAATATATAAAATGACAATCTTAAATTCTCAATAATTTCTGGTTGCACACTCAAATATTGATCAGGGCTGCAATAATGTAAAAGCTATTATCAACATTTTTGCTTGTTATCTTCATTTGTGCTATATGGGTTCGGTGGGGTAGCATGTAGTGGTTACAACGTTACTCGTTACCCTGAACACCCGAGTTCGATTAACCACATGGCTACACCGTGTGATGCCCCTTTCTGATATCAGCCGTCGTGATATTGCTGGAATATTTCTAAAAGCGGCGTAAAACCACACTCACTCCCTTCATGCTACATCCTCGATGTTCATCGTTTCCCTTTCTGTAAACACTTTCAGTCTGTGTACCTTTAGTGGCAGTTAAAATATTAAGTCCCATATTATCCAGAATGGGTTACTGTGTTTTGAACACTGTCGCTTTTTCTGAATCTCCCAAGTTAGCAATTTCAGTTTGACAAGTCCAAATCCTCTCAACAAGCATCAGGAATTCACAACAAAAAACTGCCCCAAGCTATAGAAATCCGCCATCAGAAAACTTAAACTAACAGAGATCAATGTTTTTTCATCTCGTCTGCATATGAAAGTGTAATAAAGCAGAAGACCCTTTTTAGCATCAGCATGCATCCAGTTCTCATAAGTGTTCAGTCCTATCATTTCAACAGAACATCTGGCTTCATCACATGTTATTTTTACTGTATTATTATATTTCTGGCCTCATTATCTGTGTGTCATTTGTTTTTTTACAGTATTGTTATATTTCTGGCCTCATTACCTGTGTGTCATTTGTTATTTTTACAGTATTGTTATATTTCTGGCCTCATTACCTGTGTGCTTCGTTACCTGTGTGTCATTTGTTATTTTTACAGTATTTTTATATTTCTGGCCTCATTACTGTGTCATTTGTTATTTTTTACAGTATTTTTATATTTCTGGCCTCATTACCTGTGTGTCATTTGTTATTTTTCAGTATTTGTATATTTCTGGCCTCATTACCTGTGTGCTTCGTTACCTGTGTGTCATTTGTTATTTTTACAGTATTATTATATTTCTGGCCTCATTACCTGTGTGTCATTTGTTATTTTTACAGTATTTTTATATTTCAGGCCTCATTACCTGTGTGTCATTTGTTATTTTTACAGTATTTTTATATTTCAGGCCTCATTACTGTGTCATTTGTTATTTTTAAAGTATTTTTATATTTCAGGCCTCATTACCTGTGTGTCATTTGTTATTTTTACAGTATTTTTATATTTCAGGCCTCATTACCTGTGTGTCATTTGTTATTTTGTCTATATTACTATATTTCAGGCCTCATTGCCTGTGTGTCATTCGTTATTTTTACAGTTTTTTATATTTCTGGCCTCATTACCTGTGTGTCATTTGTTATTTTTATATTTCTGGCCTCATTACCTGTGTGTCATTTGTTATTTTTACAGTATTGTTATATTTCAGGCCTCATTACCTGTGTGTCATGTGTTATTTTTACAGTATTTTTATATTTCAGGCCTCATTACCTGTGTGTCATTTGTTATTTTGTCTATATTACTATATTTCAGGCCTCATTGCCTGTGTGTCATTCGTTATTTTTACAGTATTTTTATATTTCTGGCCTCATTACCTGTGTGTCATTTGTTATTTTTACAGTATTGTTATATTTCAGGCCTCATTACCTGTGTGTCATTTGTTATTTTTACAGTATTTTTATATTTCTGGCCTCATTACCTGTGTGTCATTTGTTATTTTTACAGTATTTTTATATTTCAGGCCTCATTACTGTGTCATTCGTTATTTTTACAGTATTTTTATATTTCAGGCCTCATTACCTGTGTGTCATGTGTTATTTTTACAGTATTTTTATATTTCATTTGTGTGTCATTCGTTATTTTTACAGTATTTTTATATTTCAGGCCTCATTACCTGTGTCATTTGTTATTTTTACAGTATTTTTATATTTCTGGCCTCATTACCCGTGTGTCATTTGTTATTTTTACAGTATTTTTATATTTCAGGCCTCATTACCTGTGTGTCATTTGTTATTTTTACAGTATTTTTATATTTCAGGCCTCATTACCTGTGTCATTTGTTATTTTTACAGTATTTTTATATTTCAGGCCTCATTACCTGTGTCATGTGTTATTTTTACAGTATTTTTATATTTCTGGCCTCATTACCTGTGTCATTTGTTATTTTTACAGTATTTTTATATTTCTGGCCTCATTACCTGTGTGTCATTTGTTATTTTTACAGTATTTTTATATTTCTGGCCTCATTACCTGTGTGTCATTTGTTATTTTTACAGTATTGTTATATTTCTGGCCTCATTACCTGTATGTCATGTGTTATTTTTACAGTATTTTTATATTTCTGGCCTCATTACCTGTGTCATTTGTTATTTTTACTGTATTGTTATATTTCTTGCCTCATTACCTGTGTGTCATTTGTTATTTTTACTGTATTACTATATTTCTGGCCTCATTACCTATGTGCTTCGTTACCTGTGTGTCATTTATTACTGTACACCTGCATGGCGTCATCCAGTTACATGGTCTACCTCTTATCTATTACCTATTGTTGCCGATTTCACCCAGCTTATCACAACACGTCCTGTATATAGACCTCACATCACGTGACTAGTCAGCCCTGGGCCTCCTTTCACAAAGCACTAAGGTGATCGTAAGTCACTGAGGTAACCTTAGTGCAATGTTAAGGAATGGGAGTTAAGGTTAACCTTAATGAAGGTTTCTTTCTGAAAGGAGCCCAAGGGGCCCGTTGTACAAAACAGCCTTAGCTCTAATACTACCTTAAGTCTATGTTAAGGTATGGTAGTTACGGTAACTTTAGCGCTAAGATCGCTTTTTACAACGGCACCCTGTTTGATTTAGTCTCATTTCTGGCAGTGCCATTTCTGGCAGTGAGATTATCACACCTTTTAATTGGTGTAGCGCGTTGTCCCATTTCTGGCAGTGCGATTTCCGTAAGTCCCATTTCTGGCAGTATGCTGTTCACACCGCTTACTTGATAGGTAATAAATTACTAATTGGACTTGTGTAGGCTAATTTAATGGGTTAACTGAATCGGTCAATGATACTTTGCCAGAAGAGACACAAGCAAATAAAAGAAACATGGTTGGCAAGTCATAAGATTGTATTATATACAAGGAGGGGGAAGTTTTGATCCAACTTATGAACCGACCGAAGATAGATATACTGAGTCAAAAAAGAAACTACACATTCTTTCTTCAGGGCACTATAAAAGAACAAGAGATGGTAAGATGGTTAAATTGTTATTATTTCATTGCTGAGATCTGTGTGATGTACTCGATACACTTACAGTGCCATAATCAGTTCCATTAGGCTACACCGCCGTTCCAAAACATGGGTATACAGAATGTCAAGTCACAAGAATAAAAATGCGAAATTTCTCAGTTCAATATCGTGTATGGCCACCCCGCGCATTCACCACTGCCAAACACCGTCTCCTCATCGACTGCCTGATGCTTGTGAA